CCACCCCTCTTTATAAGAACTACGCCCCACCCCTCTTTATAAGAATCACGCCCCACCCTTCTTTATAAGAATCACGCCCCACCCCTCTTTATAAGAATCACGTCCCACCCGTCTTTATAAGAATCACGCCCCACCCCTCTTTATAAGAATCACGCCCCACCCCTCTTTATAAGAATCACGCCCCACCCCTCTTTATAAGAATCACGCCCCACCCCTCTTTATAAGAATCACGCCCCACCCCTCTTTATAAGAATCACGCCCCACCCCTCTTTATAAGAATCACGCAGACGAAGTTAAGGATCTGGCTCACCTTCCAGCGAAGTTGGGGCTAGTAGCTCCTGCCCTCTGCACGCAGCGAAATTCTTTTACTCTCCAGCGCCATCTAGTGTCTCCAAGAAAAATAGCTTGATGATAAGCCAAAGTGTTTCCAAACTTCACCTGTTGTGAGTTGAAGCCTTAACGTAAAAGTGAAGTTGCCGTGAATACACTGAACTTTGAATTGTGTATGGGAAAGATGAGAGCAGATGTTTGCCACGTAAAGCAGACACCTCTTTAGTTGATGTCAGTGAATCAGTTTCCCAACCTGTTTTTTAATAATGTGCAGTGGTCTAGTGTATGGTTCTTTCTCCACTGAACCTATTTCTAAAAATTTGATTTTTTTAAATAACGAATGCTTTTTTATTTGTTCATTGCGTCAGCTTAGTCATTATGACTACTGTTACCAATCTCATTTAGTTTAAATGGCTTAACTTTAGAAATATTTTTGGAAATGTACTGTTACCACAAAAATATTGAATAGTTCATCATGAGTTTCTTTGAAATAAGGAAAAAACTAGCTTATGCCCCGCCACTGCCTGGCGTCAGGACTGATTTCCAGCCCTGTGGCCAGTCTTCTGGCTGGCGTTGGGAGGTGAAGGGCCTTGTCTAGGCTCCCGGCAGAGCTGTCAGCTGCAGTGACCAGCAGGTAGGGGGCCAGGTGCACACCCTGATGCGTGAAGCTCTTCTTGAAAGGGTAGGGTTGGCTGAGATTCGAAGCTTTGAACCTTTCCTTTGTTTTTGATTTTCATACAGCTTTTCATCTCTAGCCTCTAAAAATTTATGCTAATAAAAGTTTTCATAGATTTATACAACATTAAAGCAGAAATTGATTTTAGAGACTCATCTTAACACGGGATGTTATCGATTATGAATGTATGCATAATCGCCTTAATATATTTAATATGTTATGTGATATTTGGTGAAAGTTATCATTCATCTTCATGTGAAAATAAATAATGAGTATAATCTTTTTTCATCTTATTAATTTGAACATCCCAGTCAAATTCTTATGTCAAAATTTGTAAGAACTGACATGGGGGTGTGGGAGGTACAAACCTTGGGGTGTAAGATAGGCTTCCAAGGATGTGTTTTATTACAATATGGAAAATATAGCCAACAGTTTGTAATAACTTTAAATTGGAAGTAAACTTTAAGTATTGTATTGAAGTTCTTTAAAAATAAATCTTTTAAAAACTCATAACGATTGATTTTGAAAAATAAAGTCCTTGCTTCTTTTTTCCATTTCTTTATAAAAACTTTTTTCCACCCATAAGTTGTTAATGCATTAGTGCAGGACCTTCACCAATGAAACATGCAAAAGGTGTCTTATAAATTATGATTATTTTGCAACATGAAGAACCAAAGCAAGACTTGGCTTACCAGATCACAGCATGTACTATAAATTACAGTAATTAAAACAGTGTGGTAGAAAAATAAACCAAGTGGTCCAGAATTGAGAGTTCAGAAACAGACCCAAGTGTACTTGAGGATTTATGTGATGAAAGTGGCAGTTCAGCCAGTAGGAAAAAGAAGGCTCTTCAACCTGTAACTATCTTTTTGATTATTTCTGTGGAGTGAGTTAAGGTAGATTTAACAAACTTTTCTCTATTCCTGAATACCTGTAATATTCAGCCTCTAGCTTGCAGGTTTGTTTTTGACATTTTCTGTTTGCAGTAATAACTGCCCACTAGCCCGATCAACCTCAGAGATCATGTACAACATGCCGTTACCGAACACAGACTCCAGATGAATCCGAAAATGATGATTTAATCAGGAATGATGCCAGGAAGGGAGCCGTTGCCCAGGGGAACCGTATGGAGTTAAAAAAACACCGCCCGAAGAGAGGAGGGAACTTCTAGCACAGAGGAGAGACACTGAAGCTGTGAAAGCACCAAAACAAGGCTCTGACTAGGTCAGCCCTCACCTTCCCTTCATACGACGGGGACTTGTGGCCTCCACAGGACAACTTACTTTTTTGTTAGCACTTGCCCTCAGTTCTCATTTGTAAGCATTTCTATTTGATAAATGTGAACAAAAATCGTAATCAAATTAGTAAAACAAGTACAAAGTCCCCATGGTAAAGAATAATTTGATTTTTGATAATCATTTTCCACGAGAAGTTTTCCACATTGTCAGGTAATTGAAGGATTTCTAAATCATTTGTTTTCAGCAAGTCTAGTACATGGAGAAGGCAATGGCACCCCACTCCAGTACTCTTGCCTGGAAAATCCCATGGACGGAGGAGCCTGGTAGGCTGCAATCCATGGGGTCTCGAAGAGTCGGACATGGCTGAGCAACTTCACTTTCACTTTTCACTTTCATGCATTGGAGAAGGAAATGGCAACCCACTCCAGTGTTCTTGCCTGGAGAATCCCAGGGATGGAGTCGCACAGAGTCGGCCACAACTGAAGTGACTTAGCAGCAGCAGCAGAAGTATGCAAAGTAGCTTGCCGTATTCCCACGGTGCATTATTTGCTTGCCTGTTTCTTGTACATCGTCTAGAAAGTCTACATAGAGGCAATAAATGTTTATATTAAATAAATGATATAATAATACAGGACCATATAAGCTATTTCATCATTACTGAATAAAGAAGCTAAACATAACTTGAAGATATTATTAAATTCAGCCTTAATGGTCTTATAGAAGTCAGCTGGAAGAAGTGTCTGTGGTATATCTTCAAACAACAAACACATAGAGTCAACAACCATTAAAAAATATCCAGAGCTTCTGTTGGGAGCTTGCTTTAGCATTTATTTTCTGTTGGTGTCATGGGAACTTCTTTAAAAGTTATCTAAATGACTCGGGTCAATTTAAGTTCATTTCCTGCAGTTCTGACTTTGAGAAGAGAAACATTACTCAGCATCCTTGTAATTAACTTTCTCATAGTTTGAAAAAAATCATTGTCAATTCTGACTTTTATTCAGCCTGCATATATTGTATTTTTTATATTTTTATTGTAGTCATCTCTCTTCCTGTTCTTGGATCATTTTGCTACTCTCCTGTCAATCTTAAGAAAGGGTAACACATTGAATGATATTTTGCAAGATAGATACTAAATCTAATGAAATTCTTATTTCTATGTCACATGTGTGTTGGTGCATAATAGATTATAGTAACTATTGTAAAAACAGTGACTGATTTCTACCCACTTTAAAAATGCATATAGTCCAATTGTCAATTATCATCACATATGTAGTTAAATTTTTAAAAATCTTTTTAAAGTGTGTAACTTGTATTTAAACATTTTAAGCTTAATACTTTTTAAAAGAAGCAATTTAAAACTGTTTTTCACAGACATTTTACTTAATAGCAAATTACTGCTTACACCCAATCCTAGCTAATGTAGATATACTAATGAATAAAGCTATTTTGAACTTGTAATCTTTAGATAATGGTGACTTAAAGCACATGGGATGAGCCAAGGCTCTGTTTTCCTTTTCTCTGCTCCCAGTGATTGAAGTAGCTCAGGTTTATAGGGCTCAATCCCTTGTAAGATTTTACTGGAAGAAAGAGTTCTTTGACATTGTGTGTGTGTGTGTGTGTGTGCGCGCTCGCACGCGGGCTTAGTCGTGTTTGACTCTTTTGTGACTCTATGGACTTAGCCCGCCATGCTCCTCTGTCCGTGGGATTTCCCAGGTAAGAATACTGGAGTGGGCTGCCATTTCCTCCTCCAAGGGGATCTTCCCAATCTGGGGGCTGAACCCTCGTCTCCTGCGTCTTCAACATTCCAAAGCTGGAAAACCACATTATCTGTAAAGCAACACATCAGAGGATTGCCTAATACTTACTAGTTCAAAAGGCCATCATCCTTAAGTTACAGCAGTCCCATTTAAGATAAAAGTAAAGTGTTGGGAGAATTTACCAGAACTTTAATACTTTTTAAATCGAGTAGATAATCACCGTGCAGTTCTGTCAAAATATTGCTCCCCCTGCCTAAATGATTTGATTAGCAATTCTTGTTTAGTAGAAATTTATTTTAAAATGTAGTTGGGTTTAGTCAAAATGATTGATCATGTTTAAAAAAATAAATTTAAGATACTTTCAAATGTTCTCCACCTGCCTCATCTTTTGAGGGGGAGAGATACACCCAGGCTTGTCCAGTTATTTGTTTACTTATTTATTTTTGGTGTGTATGTGCAGAGAAAAGCAAAGATTTTTCCAAGAGTATTCTAAATCTATAATATGGGCAGGCCAGTTTCAGGAATGGAGTGGCCGATTATTAAAAAAAAAAGAAGAAGTAACATTCTGAGAAAGATTTTTAATGAACGTGAGAAAGTACAGCCAGCTCACGTCAACTTTGTAGTTACAGATCCATATGCCTCGTCTGCAGGATGCGGGGCTCATCCTGTCTGCTTCTTGATCTGTAGTTTCTAGAGCCCAAGGACAGCTTACGTTTCTGTCTTCATGTTAGTATTTTCTGTGGATAAAAATTGGAGGCTGCTGTTGAGAGTTTTTCCCATGCATGGACATTCGTGCGAGTCCTGCGTCTAGCGTCTGTCTTGTGTTCATGGGAATCCCACCTCAGATGCTTCATCGCAAAGCACCTCCCTCATTTTGGGTCTCCTCTTTGCCTTGGCTCACAGATTTCTTGTGATCGTTAAGTGATGTCTAGGAGTCTTTGTGTCCCATGCCAAAAAGCGCAGGACAGTTTCTAGAATGTGTTCTGTTCCTCTTCGCAGAGCCTTTGTGTGTTTATCCCGCCTGGAATCAAGGAAGGAAAACCCAAGCTCATCCCCGCGGGTCCCATCGCCCAGGGCACCACCACCTCCGCCTACGTGGCCAAGTCCAGAAAAACGTTGCTGGTGGAAGACATCCTCGGGGTGAGTGGCTTTTCACCCTTTGTGACATTTGTAACCCGAGGTATTTAATTAAGAAAGACAACATACATGCTTGATGTTATAACTTAAGCCATGTTGTAACAGCATAAAAGCCAAATACCAATCAATAAATGCATTTGTATGTAAGTGAATTCTTTGTACTCCAAGAAATATATCTGATAACTTCCTAAGAGCTAGGTTTGAGTAGTTCTTCTTTCAACATTTGCTTGTATGCTTATATACATATAAGCCGAATGATTACTGTTTGCTGTTTCGTGTCCCAGCAGGATAGATTTGAATGAGTTAGCTATATGACTGACTGCCCCAGATTTTAGTGGTGTCCTGCAGAGACCTACTGTCTCTGCATCAGCCGTTCTGCTGATCCGAGCTTTCTCACATGTCTGAGGCCGTCTGGGCATCCCTTGGGAGCTGGTCAGACTTACATGGCCTTTGTTTTCTGTGTGTGTCCCCACGCCTTCCACTAAGGCTAGCCTGGCATCTTCTGGTGGTGGCAGGGGTCAGAGAGAAGTGGACACATGCAGGTGAGTTTTCAAGCCTCTGCTTGCATCAGATTCACGACACTCAGTTCAGCCAACCAAATCACATAGTGGGCCAGACTCAGTGTAGTCTGACCAAGGCCAGGGGTACAGAGAACAGGACCAGATGGGGCCCTGGGACCAGTCTCCTCCAGTATATGTGCGCATCCTGATGAAATGTCACTGCGTGAGCTCAGACTTTGAAACTGACAGGCATACAAACAAGGGCATAGGTGTCAGGAATTTGCTCTGAAAAAGTGCTAAACTGGAGCTGCAAAATCTAGATTTTCATTTTATTTTTGCCACTAATTATCTGTGTGACCTTGAACAAATCGGATTGCTAGTTACTGTTATCAAAAAGAAAAAAGTTATCAAAAAGAAAAAAAAAGAGTGCTTAAAATACATATTTCACAGTATAATTACATAGACAAGAATATTATAATTGTCAAACTTTCTAAGAGACTAGGTCTTCATCATTCTCACCACGGAAAAGAAAAAATAATGCCACTGCTGGTGGAGGGCCCAGCAGGGCTGGGGATCCTAGCCGTGTCCAAACGTAGCAGATCAGCTCGCTGTGTGCCTCAGACCCCCATGACGCTGTATACCGAGTCTATCTCATTTTTAGGAAGTAAATGTTAAAAGTAGATATGGTATAAATTATCACTTAAAATGTTGTGTTGCATGTATATACAAGCTTTCCAAAGATCTGTCAGTTACAAAGGATATATCCATGCTAGTCTTGATTCATGAAAAGCTTCCCATAGACTGCAGAAAGTGAGTAAATAGAATCGATGTTTTGATATTAATTCATTCAATTTTCTTGTATTCCTTTGACTGGTTTTGCTAAGTTAGCAAATGAATTAGAAGAACCAGTTTCATTTCTTATGATAGGTAATGGGTGATTATTGGTTGATTTGAGTACCTAATAAGGGTCTTTGGGGTTTACTTACAGTGACTCTCATTAACCTGTGTTTTTGTGTTATTCTGACCTTAAAAATAAGAGAAAAAAATACATAAATATAATTTCCTGTGGCACTTGGAGTAATCTTCACTTGTGACTTTATGCCTCTAAAGTTCTTAATTTTAACCCTAGAAGGTGAAGAATAAAGAAGTGTTGCTTACAGCTGCTTTTGTGCTCAGTCATGTCCGACTCTTTGCAACCCCATGGACTGTAGCCCGCCAGGCTCCTCTGTCCATGGATTTCCCAGGCAAGAATACTGGAGTGGGTTGTCATTTCCTCCTCCAGGGGGTCTTTTGGACTCAGAGATCAAACCCTTGTCTCCTGTGGCTCCAGCATTAGCCGGTGGATGCCTCACCACTTGAGCCACCTGGGAAGCCATCATAATTATTTTATTATTGCATGAAGCTATGTATATTCATTAATTGAATTCTCCTGTATAATGATAAAGAGACATTAGGCACTGTCTGGGTTTAAGTCCCATGTTGCTAAAGTTATCTTAAACAGCTCAGTGGGTAAATAATCCACCTGCAGTGCTGGAGTCAGAGGAGACGAGGGTTTGATCCCTGGGCTGGGAAGATCCCTTGGAAGAGGAAATGGAAACCCATGCCAGTATTCTTGTCTGGGAAATTCATGGACAGAGAAGCCTGGTGGGCTACAGTCCAAAGGATCACAGAGAGTCAGACAGGACTGAATGACTAAGCCCAGCACAGGCACAGCCTGTGTTGTTCACATTTTCTTAAACAAGGTTCACAGTGACCATCATCGTTGGGCTTTCCTTTGAAAAGGATGGCTGATTATGGCTTACAAGTTTTAGGGAATTTCTGATAGAATCATAAATTAATGATTCCATTTCTTTTGAAGAACTTATATCTTTTCCCCTCCTACTTTTGTAGGATGAACGGTTTCCAAGAGGTACTGGGCTGGAATCAGGGACGCGAATCCAGTCTGTGCTGTGCTTGCCGATCGTCACCGCGATCGGGGACTTGATTGGCATCCTGGAGCTCTATCGGCACTGGGGCAAAGAAGCCTTCCGTCTGAGTCACCAGGAGGTGAGCCTGGGCGCCGCCTGTGGGGGTCTCAGCTGTGCCCGGTTCTCCGACGGTGCTTGTCGATGGTGCTCAGTTAATGAATGGATACCTAGCGAGTGAATGTTTAAAACCGGAACTTGTTTAAAAATATTTTGATATCAATACTAATGATTTAAATTTTTTTTTCCCATTTTGCAGTGATAGTGGGGTAGAAATATAGTAATTTATTGCAGTCAGGATCCATTTGGACCATAAATGTAAAATACCATGTTGTTAATCAAATTAAGCTGTCGTGTGGCTTTGGAGGGTTTTCACATTCCGGTTGACTTTGCATCCCCTTGGAGAGTTCCTCTTCCTAGAACGTGTCCTGAATCAATGCTCCAGCGTTAGAAACATTTGGGAGACACCCCTAGTGGCTCAGGGGTAAAGAACGTGCCTGCCAGGGCAGGAGATTCGGGTTCGATCCCTGGATGGGGAAGATCCCCTGGAGAAGGAAATGGTAGCCCACTCCAGTGCTCTTGGCTGGGAAATCCCATGGACAGAGGAGCCTGGCGGGCTACGGCTCCACAGGGCTGCAAAGAGTCGGACACAACGTAGCAACCACCAATGTCTGTTCACTGTTCCTCGAATGGGAACGGCTCAGTGACGCTAAAACCGAAGACTGCCGTGACCTCTCTGTCACCCGCAGCGCTCGTCCCGGCCCGGGGTGGCCGGCGCCCCCTCCACTCACCCAGATGACCGTCCGCCCCTCCAGCTCCTTGGCTCCCTGCCGCCGGCTGGCCGGCTCCTCTCCGGCAGATCCTGCACCTCGGTTCCCCCTCTGCTCAGACTTCTCTGTCCCCCCCCGGCCGCCTCCTCCGGGAGCGCGCTCTGATGTCACCCGCCCAGGATGGCATCTTCCCTGGGCCCTGCACGCAGGCGCGAGTGGGCATCTGCTCTCTGAGAACAGCGCTGGGCCCCAGCAGGCACCCAGGAATACTCGTTAGATGAGCAGGAAAAAAAAAATAGGATAGCTAGCAGTTTAAGCACTTGTCAGCAAAGTTTGGGGAACATGTCCTCATTTTTAAAGTGGTCACAAGGAGCTCATTTGAGTCAGTCCTGAGGTGGATGAACCTGGAGCCTGTTATACAGAGTGAAGTCAGCCAGAAAGAGGAAGACAGATACTGTGTAGTAACACATGTTTGTGGAATTTAGAAAGATGGGTCATGTTGAGCCAGCATGCCTGGCAGTGCAGGAGACACAGATGTAGAGAACAGACTTCTGGGCTCAGTGGGAGGAGGCGAGGGGGGATGACTTGAGAGAATGGCATTCAAACAGGTACCTTACCATGTGTGAAGTAGGTGACCATTGCAAGTTCAGTGCAGGAGGCTGAGCACCCAGAGGTGCTCTGGGACAACCCAGAGGGCTGGGGTGGGGAGGCAGGTGGGGGGGGGGTGTGCAGGATGTACACGTGTACTCCTGTGGCTGATTCATGTTGCAGTCTGGCAGAAGCCATCACAAAATTGTAAAGTAATTATCCTCCAATTAAAATAAATTAATTTAAAAAAGGGGAAAAAATGGTCACTAGAAGCCTTTTTAATAGTGATTTTGTTGACGCGAAAAATAATTATTTTATGATAAATTCATTGGATGACCGGGCTCTTAATCAATGTATCTTCCTTTTTATCCCAAATTAAGAGCAACAAGAGAACATTACACTCAACCATAAAGAAGTGGGAAATAGAAAAGAGAAATTTTGCATGTATTTGACAATTTGGTTTTTCAGAACATCCAAAGATGTGATGACCTCACAAAACTTAAGCTAGTGGCCTTTGTTGGGATGTCTGCATATGGCTGATGAAAACTCGCTTCATACTCTTTCTTTCTTTTTTTTCAGGTTGCAACAGCAAATCTTGCCTGGGCTTCAGTAGCAATACATCAGGTGCAGGTGCGTCCTTGGGGTGTTTTCACGGGGCTTCCTGAGAGAAGGGGCGCGTGGAGCGCATCACCAGGAGGCAGAGTGGGGGCTAGCAAGTCACCCAGGGCTTTCTTTGTGGATGTTAAGTGTTTTCTTATTTCTAAAATGTCTGATCCGGTCACTTACATTTACTTACTCTCTGCCATAAATGTCTTCCAACTAATTCTTTTGTATTTTTAAATAGGATGTTAAATTATTTGCATTCCATATCGCGGTTTTTGTTTTCCACTGAAAGCCCAGCAATGATATCCTGCTGGCAGTAACATTGATATTTTTATGATCCATTTCCTAAATTAAAACATCCACTAAACTTAGTGGTATATGAAAACATTAAGCTTAAATTTAAGTTCCTTGATTCTCTTGAAAATGTGATCTAATTTAAAAGATCACAAACTGCATAGAATTTCCATGATACCGAGACTCTTAAGTTCAGGAACATGGCAGCAATAGAATTCTGTTTTGTTATCTTCCATTGTTTCTTGTTTTGTTTAAGTCCATTTCAGCAAACTCAGATTGGTGAGGAACTGTCTGATAGGGAGAGAATGTGTGTGTGTATGTGTGTGTGTGTGTGTGTACATCAGTTCAGTCGCTCAGTCATGTCCGACCCTTTGAGACCCCATGGACAGCAGCGCGCCAGGCCTCCCTGTCCATCACCAACTCCCGGAGTTTACCCAAACTCATGTCCATTGAGTCAGTGATGCCATCCAACCATCTCATCCTCTGTCGTCCCCTTCTCCTCCCACCTTCAATCCTTCCCGAGCATCAGGGTCTTTTCCAACGAGTCAGTTCTTCGACTCAGGTGGCCAAAGTATTGGAGTTTCAGCTTCAGGATCAGTCCTTCCAATGAACACCCAGGACTGCTCTCCTTCAGGATGGACTGGTTGGATCTCCTTGCAGTCCAAGGGACTCTCAAGAGTCTTCTCCAGCACCACAGTTCAAGAGCATCAACTCTTCAGCGCTCAGCTTTCTTCACAGTCCAACTCTCACATCCATACATGACCCCTGGGAAGGCCATAGCTTTGACTAGATGGACCTTTATTGCAAAGTAATGTCTCTGTGCTACATATATACATATATATACACACACACACACACACACACACACATAGCAAATAAAATATATAAAACATATATCTATATTTTAAGATAATGGTATAAGAAGCAAGGACTTCCTGGATCTGACAGTACTGCACGTAGGTGGGATACATGCTCAAGTACAATTTTTAAAAACTTTGAAGTAGTGATTGTATTATGCCTTTTTAAATAATAAGGTAAATAATATTCTGCACTTTTCATTCCTAAAATAAACAAAAATCCCTCAAAATTAATAGCCACTGTTTTGTATGGCAGGTATGCAGAGGTCTTGCCAAACAGACTGAACTGAATGACTTTCTACTCGACGTATCAAAGTAAGTGTTCATTTCTAGGGATGTGGTAGCTCTAACTGGCGAACAGTTTAGGTCAGGCGCCGGCCTTGGTCGTGACAGACCACTGTCCACTGCAGTCAGTAGCAGAAGATGTGTCTTTATCAGGCACGTGATCTGGTAAGTGTGGTCCATCAGGTTTGGGCTTAGAGAGTTTCGTTCTCATCCACATTCAGTTCACAAATGAAGGGTCAAAGATGTACATGTGATCATCTTAATTTGCAATTCGGCATATTTGTAAATGACTCACTAGAGGGTATTAGAGACTATACAGAGAGATGCCCTCAGTGTTTCTGTTTCCGTAGGAGAGAATTGGTAGCAATAGCAGGAGGGGAAATGTTGTAGTTTATCATTTTCCCGAAGTCCTCTCTGGCCTTTTCTGTGAACGTCAGTAAATTAAAACACTATTAACATCATTATTTCAATTTTCCCACATGTAGCAGCTCAGATGCCATTCTCAAGAAGATGCTGCATTTCCCCGGAGTTTAACCTAGGCAAACTCTCTTAGGCTGGCAGTGGAAGCAAGTATAGATGTTTATTAAATGTCAGATCCACACCAGGTTTGCTTGCTACAGGGAAGGTCAGGTATTAACATCTCTCTGACCTTCTGCTCAGCGGCTGAGATCTGAGAACGCCCCAGGCTGTGGTAGCTTCAGGGCCCCGCCCCACGACAGGTTATTAACTCCAGGAGCACTCGGCTGCAGTTCTGATGCTGCAGTTCTGACGCTGTTCCCGCTGACGTGTCCCTAGCTTACTCATCACCAAGTCCTGGAGTCCCCTCACTCGAGATTCTGAAGTTGCGTCTTTGTGTTTTGAAATACTGGGTCGGAGGGTGTGCTCTTTTGATCCCCTCGGCCAACGATCAAAATCTTCTCTGAGGCAGAAGGAAACAGGGTGTCTGGACACCAGATGTGACTGCTTCAGACACGCCTAGGAAGGGAAGCCGTGCTCGGCCTCTCCCCAGCCCATCGGGACACTTTGCAAGCCTCCCAAAGCCCTATTAAAACCCTCATGTGATGCATTAAATCTCTTCCCTAGTGGGAAACCCGTTCTCTTCACCCTGTTCCTTGCAGGATATTCCTCAGTGGATGTTGTAACTAAGCATATTAAAAGCTTCAAGTCAGATGATTTCTCTTCTTGAAAAAGGCATTGTTTACTGCTATAAGTTACCTTAACCCTGAATACACTGCTGATCCTCACAAACCCACACTGAGAGTGGTACCTTGCCAATGGTCTATGTGAAGAGTATTTGCTACATATTCCCTGTAACACGTGCCTGCTGATTTATCTGTTTCTCTGGTCTACGTTTTAATGTATGTGCCATATGCCCCACAAATATTTACTTGCAGTTCATAATGATGAATCTATATTTACTTGGGTAGAGTTGTCAGGTCCTATCATTACTTGTATTCTGATACTTCTTCTCAAATGAATTTCCCTGCTGTTTTTTAATAGAGTTAAACTATATTCTAGCTTTTGGGGCTTTCAGTGATTATTTATATTTTTATCTTATTAATGAGATTTAGCAAATTTCAATATTTTTATTTTATATCAAAGTTATTAATGAGATGTTAAATTTGATGTACCAATTTAATTTCTTCATTGTTTTAGTTAAATGCTACAAACTTTTTCTCTGCCCTGAATACTTGCTGATAAAGTAATTACTGAAGGTGATCCCTGGAATTAGAACCCTATACTAAAGCCAATGATAGACTTCCATTTATCTCTTTAAAATAATACTATTGGTTGTTTCCACAAAAGGGCAATAGTCAAACAACATAAACCTTTCTGTTGTTTTTTTTTATTTAAATATAGACAAAATTGGGAAATGTATTCAAAGTTTAATATGTTCTGTGTTCTAATAACATTACTTAAAGATTTTACCTTTCTTCTTTTTCAGAACATATTTTGATAACATAGTTGCAATAGATTCTCTACTTGAACACATAATGGTAGGTTGCCTTCTGTTTTAAAAATGATTCTGTTTAACCCTTAGTCATGTCCTAATATGGGCTCCCCTGGTGCTCAGATGGTAAGGAATCTGCCTGAAATGCAGAAGACCCAGGTTCTATCCCTGGGCTGGGAAGATCCCCTGGAGAAAGAAATGGCTACCCGCTCCAGTCTTATTGCCTGGAGGATCCTGTGGATCGAGGAGCCTGGAGGGCTGCGGTCCACAGAGTCGCAGAGTCGGACACGGCTGAGTGGCTGACACTACTCCTTCCACGTGTCTTAATATACGATGGAGCGTTTTAATGTACACGGCATCCGTGCTGTTTTAAATATGATAAAAGTGATCTGGAGGCATCACCTTGATTGATCTGTCACTTCAGTTAATTTTGGAGGGGTTTTGAATAATGTTTTGAAAAATACTACAGAATTTTCCATTATTTAATGGAGAGCTAACTTGAAAAATCATTTAATTTCTTTTTCTTTCTTCAGAATACCTTTTGCATGTAGGTTTTATTGGGGATTTCCGATGGATTCTTTCTGACCCTGAGTTTCATTCTACTTAGTTTTAGTCTTAATCATTTCTCTCTTCCAGAAGACTCACAGGCTAGAGCTGAGGGCTCCAGGAAGTAGAGTTTGGTTTTCCCCACGTCTAATGTTGCTGCTCTAGTGCTCGGGAGAGGGTCCGCTGAGGGAGGGGCTCACGGTGGTGGAGGTGGTGTGTGTGTGGACCCGTGCGTGCCAGGCAGGCTTGCTTGGGGCCATTCATGCCTTATTGTGTATTTGATAAGTGTTCTTTCTCCTTCCCATTTTCCTGATCTTTCTCAAGACATAGTAATCCTGTGCAACAAGGATTCTTTTAATCTCCAGGTTTAATGGGGTGCACTGATCTGTTTCTCGATGTCATGGCAGGTCAGGCATGGAGTGTGCCATCTCAGAGTCTTGTAGAAACAGAACGTTTCCTGAGGGTAATGTAGGGGTCATTGCTTTCAGCACATTCTCTCTGTAAGTAGTTACGCTGATGGTTTTACAGTTGACCCTTGAGCTGCAGGAGTTTAAACAGGCCCACTGATACATGGACTTTTTTCAGTAGTAAATGCTGCAGTGTGACACGACCCGCAATTGTGGAGTCTGTAGATGTGGGGCTGTGAATACGGAGGAACCACATATGTGGAGGATGATAGAGGTTATATGTGGATTTTTTATTGTGTGGGCTGTGTTCAAGGATCAGCTTTGTTTGGACAGAAAAAGAAAGTAACTGATTGCACAGTAAAAAGAAAAATAGCCTCTTTGGTTATGACAACATTTAAGGAATTTATAAAGCAATGAAAAGTATTTAAGAAGACATAAAACTATATAATATGGACTGACTTGTACCAGGAGTACAAGAAATGCCATTGACCAGTTCTTCTATTCTTAATGTTATATTAGAAAACAGTTTTACTGAGATACAGTTCATGTAGAATACAGTTAATCCATTTAGAGTGTTTAAATCAGCGCTCTTTAGCATATTCTCAGATAGCCGCAGCCATTGCCAGTCAATGTTAGAACATTTTCGTTACTTCAGAAAGAAACTTCCTAGCGTTTTAGGTGTCACCTGTTTATGCCCCATCCTCAACCCCCAGCCCTCAGCAACTACTGATTTCCTTTCTCTTCTGTGGATTTCACCTAAATCCCACATAAAAGGAATCATGTCATATGTGGCTTTTTGTGTCTGGCTTCTTTCACTTAGCATAATGTTTCCAAAGTTCATGCATGTTGTAGTATATTTCATTACCTCATTCCTTTCTGTAGGCAAGTAATATTTGGTTGTATGAATATGCATACCACAGTTTTGTAATCCATTCATCAGCTGGTAGACATTTGAATTTGTTTCCACATTTTGGCTAATGCAAATGGTACTGTTTTGAACATTTGGGTACATTTTTGTTTGTTTGTTTTAACCCCTGTTTTCAGTCGTTTTAGGTTAAGAGTGGAACTACTAAGTGCTGTGATTACTCTGTGCTTAACTTTTTGAGGAACAGTCAAACTGTTTCCGTGGCACTTAAGACGATTTTACCTTCCTACCAGCAGTGCACATGGGTTCCCATTTCTCCACACTCTCACCAACATTGGTCATTATCTTAATTTTTGATTATTGCCATTATAGTAGATGTGAAGTACTATCTCAGTGTGACTCTGATTAGCATTTCCCTGGTGACTAATGATATTGAATATCTATCCATATGATGAAAGATTCAGCTCCATGGACGGCTTTTTACTTTAGTTTTCAGTGTTGAGTTCTAAGACTTCTTGCATTTTAGATACCACTCCCTTATTTGATGTATAGTTGGAAAATATTTTTCCCATCTGTGTATTATTAATATCTTTTCACTTTCCTGACAGCATGAAGTACTGAAGTTTTTAATTTTCGTGAAGTCTAATTTATCTTCTTCTGTTGCTCATACATGTGTCATATCTAAGAACCCATTACCAAATCAGATACCATGAAAACTTACTCCAATTATTTTCTTCTAAGAGTTTTGTAGCGTTAGCTTTTACATTTAGTTAGGGTGTTCACTTATGTTAGTTCATTTTTGTTCATGGTGTAAGGGTCCAATTTCATTCTTTTGCATGTCACTACCAGCAGCATTTATTGAAAAGACTCTTATTTCCCCTTTAAACGTGGTTTTCCTGGAATCAGTTGAGCATGCACATATTGTTTTTGTCGTAAGGTCTCAGTTCTATTCAGTTGACCTATGTGTCCAGCTTAATGATAGTACCATCTTGTCTTGATTACTGTTGCTTTATAGCAAGTTTTGAAATCAGCAAGTGTGAATCCTCCAAATGTGTTCTTCATATTCATTTCTCTTTGAGCTATTTTGAGTCCCTTGCAGTTCCATATGAATTTTAGAAACCAGCTTGTCAATTTCTACCAATAGTTCATATGGGTTTCTGACAGGGATTTTGTTGACTGTAGGTTGGGGAATATTGCCTTCTTAATAATATGAAGTCTTCCACTATAGCAACATCGGCATTTTCCGTTTATTTAAATTTTCTTAATTTGTTCAACACTATTCTGTAATTTTCGGAGTACAAGTATTGCCTTTATTTTGGTAAAGTTATTCCTAGATATTTTATCTCTTAATGCTCTTATGCAGGAGACCTGGGTTCAATCTCTGGGTCGGGAAGATCCCCTGGAGAAGGGAATGGCTACCCACTCCTGTATGCTTGTCTGGAGAATCCCAGGTAGAGAGTAGCCTATCGGGCTACAGTCCATGGGGTCACAAAGAATCAGACATGACTGCGTAGCTAACACTTTCACATAAAGTTATTCCTAGATGTTTTATCTTTTAATGCTATTTAATGCTGTTATTAATGTGTTCTTAATTTTATTTTCCGATGTTTCATTGAAAATTTATAGAAGTAAACTTGCTTTTTATATCTTGATCCTCTGTCCTACAGTCTTGATGAACTCATTATTTCTGGTAGCTTCCTAGTGGATTCTTTAGTCCCTCCCTCCTAATCTGTATATCTTTTTTCCCCCTCTGTTGCATAATTGTCCTGACTAGGTCCCCCAGGGCTGGAAAAGGCAATGGCACCCCACTCCAGCACTCTTGCCTGGAAAATCCCATGGACGGAGGAGCTTGGTAGGCTGCAGTCCATGGGGTCGCTAAGAGTCGGACACGACTGAGCGACTTCCCTTTCACTTTTCACTTTCATGCATTGGAGAAGGAAATGGCAACCCACTCCATTCTCCATTCTCCATTCTCCACTCCTGGAGAATCCCAGGGACAGAGGAGCCTGGTGGGCTTCCGTCTATGGGGTCGCACAGAGTCGGACACAACTGAACTGACTTAGCAGCAGCAGCAGGTCCCCCAGGGCAATACTGAATTAGGGGATGGTGAGTGTGGATATCCTGCATCCATTCTGCAGTCTTTCACAGTTAAGTATATGGATTAGTTGTGGACTTTTCATGGGTAGTCTTTATCAGGGTGAGGACATCCCCTTCTAGTCCTAGTTTTTTTAATGTTTTAAATCATGATTGGATGTTGGATATTGTCCTCATTTATTTTCTCTGCATTTATTAAGATGACCATGTGTTTATTTAAATTTTTGTCTTATTGATCTATGGTGTGTTATACAGAGTGGTTTTTGGATGTTATATGAACCTAGCATTCCTATGATATATCCCTCTTCGTCATGGAATGTGATTTATATTGAAATTACCTTGACTTTTATAAAACCTTAAGTAGAGTTGATATGTTTAGCATATCGAGTCTTCTTGTACAATAGCATTGTCTTATTTTCAATTAAAAAAATCTCTCTTGGTTGAACGTACTGACTTTGATCCCCCATATTTGATAAGTTGTTTTTTCAGTTTACAATCTCAGATTTTCAAGAAAGATCATTTATAGTGATAAGTGAGAGCACTGGTTCTACTTTCCCAGTGTTTACACTATGTCCTTTTTCTTTTTTTAATGTGTTTGCCAGGACCTAAGAATACTGTGGAATGGACCAGGGAGAGTGAATATATTATAGTTTCTTTAATGTGCATGCTTCTCATGTTTCCTTGCTTTGTAGAATTGTTGAAGGTCCCCCAGTAGATATTGTCTATTAACTTAAAAATGTTTCCTTCTGTCCCTTTCTTTGAGTTTATACCAGATTGGGTGTCAGACATTATCAAATTTTGTAAGTCATTGTTAAAATTATGTAATTTTTCTTCCTTTAATCAATGATGGGGAATTATATTAATTTATGCTTAATGTTAAATGACTCTGGCATTCCTGGGATAATCGACCCCTATGTAGTTGGGGTTTACCTGGTAGCTCGGATGATAAAGCATCTGCCTGCAATGTGGCAGACCCGGGTTTGATCCCTGGGTCAGGAAGATCCCTTGGAGAAGGAAGTGGCCGCCCACTCCAGTATTCTTGCCTGGGAAATCCCACAGACAGAGGAGTCTGGTAGGCTACAGTCCATGGGGTCGCAAAGAGTCAGACACGACTGAGCGACTTCACTTTCACTT